TAGTTTTATTTTGTTGGTATTAAATCACTTTTTTTTTTTTCGTTTAGCTTTCAATTCGATTAATAGAATTTTTCGTATTCAAGTGGAATATGTATTATCATTGACTCATTTGACACAAATATGATATAGTGTAAAGAATAAAATTAAGAATGAAATTGACACATAACACCATCTTTTATATTTAAAACCATAGTGATTGAGGAAATTCATAAGAGTATTAAATGAAAGCAATAGATATTTGATTTTCAAATAATACCTTGCCTTCATATGTTTTCAAGAGGAACTATCATTTGAAAATTCATTTGGCTAATATACGATTTTAGATTTAAGTATTTGTTTTGAAATATATATTATCTTGCTTTTATATGGTTTTGATGAAGACGAGACCGTCCTAGCCTTTCTCGACAAATTCGACCGTCTACGCTTCTAGATTATTCTACATATTATATTTCTTATTATTATTTAGTAAGAGATATTTTATTTTATTAGGAGTGTTTTATTATTTAGGAATAAATAAGATAATTATCTTGTTGCACAAGATAGTTAGGATTAGGATTTTCTTTCATAGGGCTCTATATATTGTCTCTCTCTTATGAAGTTTCAGCGATGAACATTGAATAAAATTAAGAACTCTTGAGTTTTCTCTTATATTCCTTTTGTCTACCACGTTGCTGCATCAGTTGGTATCAGCTGTCGGGACGATTCCAGATGCCGCCAAGACGTAACGACAACGAGGATGGGCGCACGAACGACATCATGTTCCAAGTCGAGGGGGTTAATCGTCGGGTTGAAGGTCTTACCGAGGGGATGGAAGAAATCCGGCAGGCGATGCGCCACTTGATGGCGGACGAGGACACGAGATTCGATGCCCGCGGCCGGGGCAATCGCATGCGGTGGAACACGCAGCGGCCGTGGTGGGAGGGGGCCGTCGGGTTGCCCCGTTCGCCGTCCCCACGCTCGTCGCGCGGCCAGAGTACGGACAACGGTCATACCGCCTCGGACGTTAACCCTTTCGGCGGTCCGAGGAGACTGCGGGATGTCTCTGTTGGCGAGCGGTCCGATCTCTACGGGCCTGATAAGGAAGCCGATCGCAACGGCCACCACCGGGTGGGTGGTGACAGCCGCTGGGAGGCGGGTTTCCGCGTAGAGGTGCCGGAGTTCTCGGGCGGGCTCGACGCCAGCGGGTTTCTCGACTGGATCGTTGCGGTTGAGTCGATCTTGGATTTCAAGGAAGTGCCGGAGGATCGTCGTGTTGTATTTATCGCTACCCGGTTACATGACCGCACGGCTGCGTGGTAATCAACTTAAGGGTCGGCGGCATCGCATGGGCAAGCCTCAGATAACTTCTTGGGCCAAGTTCCGGAAACATATGGAGCGTGAGTTTCTCCGTTTAATTTCACGCGTTCTTTACCA